GGATACTTTTACACATTTGATATGATTTGTTGTGATTTTGAATATCCAGTCCATGACTTTGTGTTTCAGAGAATTGTTTTTCTGTAAATTGGCATCTGAATAAATAAAGACTGTAAGAACATATGATATGGTCTTTATTTCAGCTCAGGATATGCAAATACAAAAACTTGGAATCAAAAGGTATGCATTCTGCATAACTTTGTGGTCCACAGAGTAACAGGAAATAGATTTTGATGTGATTTATGCATAAGTAGATGAAAATTAAATCTAGCAAAATTTAAAAATATTCTCAAAACCAATGAGAAACATTTTTGTCCTGAGCAGAGGGATCTTGACTCAAGAGGGAGCTAGGTAGCTGGATTTATAAGCAGAGCATTTCAACAATCTTACTCATTTTCATTTGAAAATTAAGAAATTAAATAAACCTGCTTGTGTTTATAACTGATCTTGTTGACAAGATGATAGCTAGGATTTTTATTCCCTAGTGTAGAACCCATGACTGCATACTGATGGTGATTTCATTGAAGGATTTAAAATAATCACTTAAATTCAGCTGAGCTGCCTTTTCCTGTAAGCTGTAAAATAGTATTCAAAAAATCCTTCATTTTCACCTTCTCTTTTCAGATGAGAATTCAGAGGATACTTGACTCTTCTGAACTAGTAAATAAAAGTAAACACAATGACTAGTACTGTCATGGAATCACAGACTGGCCTGGGTTGGAAGGGACCTTAAAGACGGTCTCATTCTACCCTGCTGCCGTGTTCAGGGACACTTTTCACTAGACCAGGTTGCTCAGAGATCCCTCCAGCCTGGCCTTGAACACTTCCAGAAGTGTCATTCAACTTATTCTTCCTTTCCATCAGAAAACTGTAAGGGTATCTGCCATATATTTTTTATTGCAAATATAAATTTTCAAGAGATCAAAGGTAGATACTGTGACGTAATACTTTGCTGCATAGTTTGCTAAAATGCTTTTACTAGGTAAAACTAGTTTTACTAGCTTCAAACATGCATTAAAAAACAGAATGAACCTAAAGAAGTCTTAGCAGGAGACAAACTCTATCACAAATGTTGACAGAGACATCCACATGCAGCAGTGACAAAATTATGACAAGCCAGATGAACTAAGGAATGACTTTACAGATAAAGATAATTTTTGTAATCTGTAAAGGAATCCCTTAAGGATTTTCTCTATAACTCTTTTTTAGGGGTTGAAATTTATAATTAGTACTACCAGAGTACTAGTAATAATAAAACAGCCTAAATCATAGGGGTGGAGCAAAACTAAAATACAAATAAAACGTACTGTAGAAAATATTTGGGAAAAAAAAAAAAAAGGAATCTGTTTATGTTTCTGTGCTGGCTGGCAGGGGTGCATCTGGCAGCTTAAATTCCCGCTGTAAACAGTAGAACTGTACCCAACTCTCCCAAGTGGGCAGATGGGAGGCATTTATTTACTGTTTCTCCAATACAAAACTCAACTTTCTAAAAACAGTTTTCAACTTTCAGTTATGACTTCTTGCAAAGTTATGATGATGTTTCTCATACATAACCTCATTCCAGTCAAACCTGTGTTTGTGATTTCTGGTACCCTTGAAAGTGTGTGGGGGGCAGGGCCCAAGAGGGGTTGGCTCTGGGCTGGGGCTAGCAACGTGAGAGTCTGTGTGCCAGTGGCAGCACACAAACCTTGGGGCTGCACCACACACTTTGGCAGAAGAGTCCCCCCTTAGGATGACACGGCTGTGCTCACCAGCACTGGGACTCTTCCCACAGAAAAAAAGGGAATGTAGCACACTCACCCCTCTAGCTGCCCAGGGTTTCTTGCTGCTCCATGACTAACAATCTATCCTATTGATTTCGGAATAGGTGGAAGGGAAATAAAAGCCTATTCACAAAATGTTTAGTAAAGCAAGTAAGAACATCTGCAGTCGTTTGTCTGGAGGAAGGTTCCTTCCCATCCCTGGCTAACGATCACAGAATTTGGACAAGGAAGGAGGGAGGGGAAAACCTTATGGCCTTTTGGCACTTGCATTCCCCTTCTTGTCACCAAGCTGTAAAATGGGACACAGTTACACAAGATTTGTTCCTTTCACAAATAAGGAGGGTGCTGGAACTGATTGATTTATTTATTTAAGTTGTACAGTAATAGTTTTGCTCTCTGAAGTGACAAGGAATGCTTGTATTAAGCAGACATATTGGTGAAACTTTATGTTGGGACAGAGTCTACAAAAGCAAACACATAAACCCAAACCTTGTCATCTCCACCCCTAAATTCAAAGCATGTGACAAACAAGCACTACACCAAAATCTGCAGAAGTTACGTTTAGTTAATTGCAGTAGAGTTTATTTACATATCATAATTTACAGCAAAAGGAAAGAGCCTTAGCTAACAAAAATGGGCATTGCTTCATTTCTAAATAATGCTTCTTACTTAGCATGTAAAGAAAATACTGTTTAACTAAGGGTTAAACTTCACTACCATGCCAGAAAGCCATCCAAGTTCATTCTGTTGTAAACAAATTCCATTGCCAGTTAACAGGCATTATTACTGAAATGGAGAAAAGTTCTTAAATAACTGTGTTTGCCATGAATACATTGAATTATAGATTAAGAGATCAGTGTCTTCCTTCAACTTGGCAAATGTTGATGAGGCATTTGCCAACTAAGAGAAACATGTCAAACATTCAGCTAGACAGCATAAAAACCTTAAAACCCTTGGGGGCAATGAAAGCAACATCTAGAAAAATTCAGATGAACAAAAGTGGACTTTAAAGTACCATATGAAAAGAAGCAAGAAAAGAATTAACAACAGATTACTGCATTAGCTCTCCTTGTGTGATGCCTGATGACAAGGCACATATAGTACTAAATTCTAAATTACAAAAATATTACATATGTGATTGGAGCAGGGGAGAGCAAGGGGGCCTGTCCTGAGAGGCTGGAGATGAGCAACTTCTGCCTTTGACAAGAGACATGAGAAGCAAGTCCTGGGCTCTGCAGTTTGGGAGCCAGTCTGCCTGGGATGGGGAGAGGATGGTACAAGCAGTCCAGAAATGCTAACACAACCCACTCACCAGGGCTTTCTGGTTTTGAATTCCCCAGTTGGTTCTAGTGGGAAGGAGGAGGCAAAAAAAAAAAAAAAAAAGCTGTAGAATATGTCCATCTTCGACATCAGTGGGGAAATGTGCTGCACAGGGCAGCTAAGCAATAGCCCTTCCCACTCAGGAGGAACATGCAAAAGAGCAGCAGAGGACAAGTCAGCAGGGTGAGACCCTATGCCATGTGGCAATTGGCTCTTAAGGGTTCTTTATGCAGCAGCTACAGAATTGCTAGTGGCTGCTGCTGCAATGAAGATTGTTTTTGATCTTTGATAATACCTGTGAGTTTCCCAGTGGGGTATTAACTATTCAGCCATCCAAATTCAGCCAAATCAAAACCTGGCAAAAATAAACATTTCCATTTTGGCATCCAAACATTCAAAATATTTTTTCTTCACTGTTTTTGAATTATGAGTGGAAAATGACACATGTGCATCCACCCAGCTATGCAAAAGCATACTAGGACTCCAAAGCCCACTTTTTCAAACTATGAAATAATCACTTTGTTTTGTTTAAAAGTAGACAGTTATTAAAGCTGAAAAAAACCAAGGTCAGCTAGAACTAGACTTGAGAATGTCTGCAGGTTTTAGAAATACAGTGAAGAACGTCATGACACAATCACATTTGAGGTGTATATTGCCGATAACCCATAGACAGCCTGGGCTATGTCCTTAAATTTTGTAAATATACATGCTTTGATTTATTTGTTTAACTTAGGCTTTGAGTTACTTTGGAACTGGTTTTAAACATCATGGAACTCCCAACACACTGTCCTAGTTTAAGGCAAATTTGGGGAAAACCCTCTGGAAGGAGCCCCCAGAAAACAAACCCCCACAGCCCCTCCCCACCCACCTGGTTTGGGAAAAAATTTTCTCTGAGAGAAGTGGAAAAGAACCTGTTTATTTAACAAACAAAGCACCCCCCAGCACCAAAAAGAAAATTAACAACACCAGATGACAACAAAACTCTTTCACCACTCTGAAGAGATGAACAAATCCAGAAAGTCTTTCCTGGGAGTGGTCGCCCAGGTCTGGGGGCTGGGGATTGCTCTCCAGCACTGGGGATGGCTGCTGCAGATCACTAAATGCAGGATCTCAGTGCTCCTCGGTGTTTCCCAGGTCCCAGTCCGGAGCAGGCTGGATGGTATTCAGGAAGAGGAAAGGAAAAGAAACAGTCCAGGGAAAGAATTGGACTGCCTAGCTAAACTAACTAGGAAGCAAAGGCAAAAGCAGAAGCAAGCAAAGCAAGCAAAGCAAGCAAGCCAAGCAAACAAGCAAAGCAAAAGCAAGCCAGCCAGCACTAGCCTTTTCTAGACAGCAGACCATGGGGGGAGGTGAACTGGCTGATAACAAGGCAAAACAAACCTTCACTTTCAGAGTCAGTTCTGAAAGCACAGAACATAATATCAAACATAAACAGAACAAACGATTGGAGATACAAACACCATAACGTCACCCTAGGACGCACACATAAAAGAGGAAAGGAGGTTATGTGTCTTCATTGTTTGAACTCTACAAAGAGAGGAGACATTTCTCACATTTCTTCCTTAGAGGTATGATAAGCAAATCCCTACATAGAAGTAGCCAGAAGAGTTTCATTACCTTCACAAAAAGAGCAATACAACTTAATGAGCAAAATATTTATAACAAACAGTTCCATTCTAATTCTGTTTCTTTTGAGCAAACTTGTCATTTGGCAATACTACTTCAATACCCACCTTTGCACTGGTGAAAGCTGACATTTACACGAGCACATGGACATGCCTTTTTCTGCTCTCACACCCTGAAAAAATGAAGCATCTTTCCAATGAGAGAAGCAAAGGAGCAGAAATCCTCCCTACATTTAACTCTGACTCCAAGGAGCTTAGGAATTCCACCTAAAACAGCACATGAAGTTTTCGATGGCCCAAGAAGTCTTTTTCAACTTTCTCTTCCTAGAACAGGGGCTTCAAACACCTACCTGGATAGTCCAGCTTGAGGAGAATGGCAACAGCTGCTTGGCATAAGACTCACCAAGCCAACACAAACTCCATCCTCAGCTTTCCAAACAGACCAAAATAATCAGCAGCTTCCCGTAAAAGTCAGTAGGCGCCACTCGCTGAGCAGCCATGTCCCAATTAATCAACCCACGCTTTTGATAGTAGCCCCCAAATGTATAACCTCCTCCCTGAGCTTTGATTTGTTTCAATTTGTTCAGCTGATCTGCTCAGCTGTCAGCCAGAAATTGCCAGTCTGACCCCAGCACACATCTCAGACTACTCATCACTGGGCAGTTGCTGTATCCTTCAGCTGAGCTGTTCTGCTCTGCAAATACAGGATTCAGGTTCTGCTCCTGTTGTCTAGGTGATTAAGAAATTATCCACTGCTGCTAAAGAGACAAAATGGGTCATCAGGGCCTATTCTAAGGCAGGTCAGTTGGGGAGAGCTCGGAATGAGAGGCAATGTGAAGAAGAGCTAGACAAAAGAGTTTTTTCATGATACTAGTTCACAGCGTTACCTATGATGGGACTGCCCAGGTTATGGGCTACTTTTAAATAACCATTAGGAACCTAAGGAGCTGCCTTAGACTTGCCATGGCAACTGGACCCTTTGTTATATTACTTGTTTTCCAACACAGTTCACATCCATATAGCTAGAGAGCAAGGTGAAATTCAGTCTTTAGGGGACCTCCAGAGCAATCTAAAAGACAAGAGGAAATAAGCCCATGATACATGTTAGCATTTGTATACTTCCAGCTTTACCATCCGGTATCCTTGTAGCAGTATCCTTCCTATGTTTTAAGCTGAACAGACAAGACCCAAAAGGCCAGGAGCAGGACTAATGGGGAAAAAAAGAGGAAAGGCTAGGTGGAAATTAGGTGGCTTTGAACAAGTTGCTGAGAGACAGAAGGCTTAAAATCAGCTGAGTAAACAGTAAATTGCAAATGGCAGCCAGCAGGGAAACATTTGAACCCAGTACTATTACTCGCTAGGCAACTCAAAATATGCAGTTTAAAATTCTTGTTTGCTACGGCAAAACTCTTTCACTTGGATATCTTCAGGAAATAATAATTTTAAAAATATAAAGAAGTAGAAAAACATAAATTATAAATTATCCCCACCAGTTTTTTTAAATCACAGCTCATATTTGCAGATGCATTGTTCAATACTTTTGACATTCTAGCCAGGAAGTCTAACATTAGGCTATGAGGGAAGAGTATTATAGACTTTAAATCATTCCTCATATGTGCTTGAGGTGATTTATATGACAGCTATGCACTGAAGTCCATATATTCACTTAGAAAAATGCACCTTCCAGAACAGTATAATTAAGTAATAGGAATTCAATTCAGGTAGATTTTCCAGTTTCCTCTAGTGACCCCCAAACAAGAATGCTTGTCTGTAGACAACAAATTGAATTAGGATGTTTACTGAAAGAAGTAGATGACCTGACCGATCAAGGCAGCTGACATTTTATTGCAATCTCTGACTGAAAGGGCTATTCATGGAATTTTGCGTTCACTTCAGGTTTCTCTTGCTTAATCTTCTGAGATGTATTATATGTTCTTCCTATAGGAGGGTTATGTTACTAGAATTTCTTTATGTGAAACACAGACAGCTAGCATTTGATGTAATTTTATTTTAATATTGTCTTCTTAGACAAACCTTAATTTAAGGTGCATTTTTCTCACATAGAAACACTAGATCTGTATCTGGGAGTCACCTACATAAAGTTCCATTTGTCAGCAGCATTCTGCAGTGATACTGCCAAGATTTGGTCTCTTTTTCATTACATTCTCTATCAATATTCTCTAACATGATTTACTAGCATCTTAATTTGGCAACATGGTACTGAATTCCAACATGTTTGATATAGTGTAAAAAACATTTGTAATAGTACTTTCCTAGCACATTATGTATAAGCAGTAATTCATTTGAACTAAGTCTGTAAAACAGAGCTAAACAACAGGATACACATTGCTTTCTTAGTCAAGTTGCAATATATTACACCTGATTTACATAACTCCATAATGTGTTTGGAGCCTTTTGTGTCAGACGCGTGACCATGTGGTCAGTAGAACTGTATCACCCAGGCACCTATAAAATATGTATAGAGAAATAAAAACATGAGATTGGGTTGGCATAGTATCAATCATTAGAAGACACTGCAGTACCTTATTGAAAAGGCAGAGCACTAAAATCTGCAGTGTGATTTACCCTTTTTTTTCCCCCCAAACTGGCAGCATCAGTCTTTTTAAAGCAAATCCTTTTCTGTCCATTATTTGATACTTATTTTCTGCTCCATCAAAGCAGTAAGGAGCAAATGAATCTTTAGACAACATTTCTCTGAATGTCATAGATTGTTCTTACAAATTTGACATACCATTTGGCTTCAGAGACTGATTGGAAACAAAACAACCAAACCCCAAAACAACTAAGGAATCTGTGTTACAATTTTATGCTGACCAGTATTTTGATAGAAACTAACTCAGTGAAATTTTGTCAACAGATTAAGACTGCTTCCTACATCAGGGCTTAGCATATTTGACACATTCTATACCCAAGTTTTTTTTATGCTTATATTGTTTCTTTCCTTCCTTCCTTCTCATTAGCTACATATACATATATAAAAAGTCACAACTGTGAGTTTTTTCAATGAGGTTGATTCATTAGGCCATTATTTTGTCTTTCCTTCTACTACCCATGAACTGACTGCCACAAGCATAGTTCCTTCCTAGGTGAATGCCTTTGGAGGCCCAAGTGTGTTACCACATTACCACACTGTGTAGAGAGCAGGAGCACCACTGACACAGAAGCCCATAAGAGGAAGCCCAACATGACAAAATGAAGGTCTCTGACACACTTCTCTGCTTGTTCAAAGAACAGCTGGAAATTATGTCAAAGGCTGTTGAAGAATATCCACACCCCCACATGGGCCAAACTACCATGTCTTAAATAATTGATCCTATATCCACCAAAGAATTTTGTTTCAATACTTTGAAAGGATATTGCATCTCACAAAAATAACAGGTTTCTCTGCATCTTCATAATATCTCCTCTGTAACTAAGGCTTCTGCAAATTTGTGCCCATTCTGCATGGGCTTTCACATGCAGAATGAAGTGAGTAGAACTTAGTAAGCTGTTCTTAAAAACTCCATTAAAAGATCTGACAGAGAATAGAAACAGTTCTGTCTTGCAGATCCCTGATGCTCCCTCTAGCAAAACCTTAAGGAAAAGTAATATTAATTTTCCAAAATAAATTTATTTGTTCCCATGACTGAGATTAATTAAGTGCTTAAAAATCCAGCAAGACTGGGTGTTGGAGGGTAGGGTTTTGAACATGTTTTGCAAAGCAAAGCTCAAAGTAGGCACTTTTCTCCCACAAATTTGCAATTTTTTCATATTAGAAAGACAAAACTATTTGGGCTTGCATTTCTAATTATTGCACAAATTTGGCATGAACTGCACTTAAAAAATCTGATACAATTGTTATTCATTATTTTAGGAATCCTAAATGCTGATGTAATGTAGCAATGCACAGGTTTTTCATGGGGAGGGATGTGAAAGGAGGAAGAGGGCTTAACCTCGCAATATTTAAAACCAAGGCTGACTTCTAGTTCTGTAGGGAATTTAAAGGATGTCTTCGCTAAAAGCAGATGCGTACATACATATGTGTTTACACATATGTTCACACACAGTCAAGCTTGCTACAGGACCTAGAGGAATAGGATTGAATTTGGATAAGAGTCATCCTATAATTATTGAGGAACTGGTCACTCAGGCAGGAGCGTCAAAGGTGCTGACTGTGGTCCAAACCACATGGCTGTGTTTGGTTCTCTGTGGAAACTGAAAAAAAAAAGATCAACCACGTTAGTCAAATGGGTTCTCAGGTCAAGACAGAATCACCTTTTGTAAATCCTAAAAGTAGAGGCTGCCCTTTCCAGTCTGGTTCCTGGGGATTATTTTATTACTATTCGGTCATAGGATCAAAGAATGGCTTAGGTTGGAAGGGACATAAAGGTCATCTTGTTCCAACTTCCCTGCCATGAGCAGGGACAACTTCCATGAGACTAAATTGCTTAATGACCCACCCAACCTGGCTTTGAACACTTCATCTGCTACTTCTCTTGGCAACTGTGCCAGTGCCTCACCTCCCTTATAGTGAAGAATTTCTTCCTAATATCTAATACAAACCTACCCTCCTTCTGTTTGAAATTATTACTCCTATTCTTATCTCTCCATGCCCTTGTAAAAAGCCCCTCTCCAGCTATTTTTAGGACCTATTCAGATACTGGAAGGTGCAATATGATCTCCCGGAGTCTTCTCCCAGCTGAACAAATCCAACTCCTTAAGTCTGTCCTCATAGGAAAAGTGCTCCAGTCCTGACCATCTTCATGGCCTCCCCTGTGTCCTTATTGTGCTGTGGATCCCAGAGCTGGATGCAGTGCTCCAGGTAGGATCTCACCAGAGCACAGAAGAGGGATAGGATCCCCTTCCTAGTGGTCACATTGCTTTGGATGCAGCCCAGAATTCAGCTGGCTTTCTGGGCTGCAAAGACACATTGTTGTGTGTCAACTTTATTCCTTAAAAAGCAATCTCCTCTCTGCTCCTATGTATCTGCATTTTATAAAAATGTGTGGCCAGAGTTAAACATGTTCTCATTCCAAGAAAACAAATATTAGATCCCAGTATTATGTTTTCAGAATACTTTAAAAGATTTCATAAACTTACTTCAGTTCCCCTCCCCTCAAAAAAAAAAGTTTTAAAATCTGCAGTTTGTATAGACACACATAAAATTTCTCACAAATGCTATCAAATATTGTGGCTTCTAACAGTCAGTGGTAACTTTAATATTTGCATTTATTCTGCTCTTCATAATGAATTTCTTCTCTGGAGGTGCTTGAAACTGCCTTCCAAACATCCCAGAAGTCATATTTACAAGCACAGCTACAAAAGATGCACCTGCAAAATCAGTCTTTACTGAGCTCTATGGCAATTTGGTTTTTACCAGCCTGGAGTGAGAAACACAACTCTGATTAGATACACAGATATGGAATTGTTCCGGAAGCTAGGGAGCCTTTATATTCAACATCTTTTAGTCTTTATGCAATACATGCTGAACAAACAAGTACTGAGTTCACTGGAGGGGAAGACTATGGTAACAGACTTCTGGAAATGTTCTGTCAAATGCTGTATAAATTAAGGACTTTAGACTAAGGCCAAAGAGAGATGCCAATGGACGAAATTCAAAAGGAGCAGGTGCAAGTCAGAAGTGACAGAAGAAATAAATTTACTACTTATACAGCTGGAACTAACCAAACAACAAGAGCAGACATACTAAGATAATACAAATTTAGAAAAAACCTCAAACAACTATGGCAAAAGCCTTAACCACGTATGCCTATAAACAGGCTGATAAATTAAGCACATGCTCTGGCTGTATTTTATAGAAGAAATTTTACATTAGAGATAACAAAAGGTGGTATCTTCCCATTTGATGTTGACATTCTGCCTCCCTCCTGGAAATGCAATAGCTCTCCCTTCACATCCATTCTATCAGTTTCACATTTAAAGACCCCTGTGCTAGGAATTTGCCTTTTTTAATTTTCAGCATCATAACACATCCAGGAATTTCAATATTCAGACTATTGCATCAATTCACACAAATCAGCAACTTCAGTAAACTTCTTATAAAACCTTGGAATACTTAGCTTTTCTAACTAGTCTCTTGATTTTTTCTGTTCCAATTCATGTCTACAACTTCTGCTTCCTAATGCCACGGTCTGCTCTGGCATTTGGTATACCAGCTTCTGATCTGTTCACAGCTGCCCAGCATCTGCCACAGACTCTGCTACTGACCAAAAGAGTTGGAGGGAGGTCTGGGCCACAACTTGACTGTTCACAAACTTGCCATCAGATTTCAGTCAAATCTTAATTCTTCTGTTCCTGACTTTCAGCAATGCATCTGAAAAATAAAAAGAAAACTAAAAAAACAAAAAAACAAACAAACAAAAAACCCCCAAAAAAACCCAATCACAAACCAGTTCTTTTTCAGCATATATTAAAGAAACTCAGATATATAACAGAAAGCTATCTTTGCCTTCTATCCCAAAAAAGTTAAGAGTACCAAGCCTCACTCAGGATTTTCCAGCTGTAAGTAATGGTTAGTATCTTAGCACTGTATGTTTTGGAGCTACTGGTCTTAGGTGTCTCTTTTTCCTCTGTTCAATCTGTAGTACTCACACAGGCAACTTACCTAGGAAGCTAAACAGGTAGATTCAAAAGATGATTATCTCCTCTAAGGAAAGTATCTGCTAGTGATTATCGAGGGAGCCTAACTACTGCCTAAGCCTGAATGCTTCACTTCTGTGTAGCTCTTAGGTGAGAACATGGAGCCTAAATGCAGTTAGATGCACAACTTGAGCTAGAAGTTTCAAAAATAGAGAATAGCTCATATATAATGATTTTTCAGAAAAATAAAATTACATAGATTAAGGAGAGTGTAAGATTTCACAGCTGAGGATGCTTTAGCTGAAGTGGTGTCTAACCAATCTGCCATACAGCTGCAGTGAATGGTACTGAAAGTCAGTAGTAATACAAAGAAAACTGAAAACTGTAGATCAAGACACAGTCTGGTGTTCAGACAGAGATAAATTTACACATTACAGGATTGTTCCTTTCAACAAAAAGGCTGGGTCTACATTCATGGCAATCATCATCAGTGGGAGACAGATATCATGGTATCTCTGAATGAAGGAACTTCTAAGAGTGAGAGGATCTGGATTTTTAGCCTGGCATCAAACAACTGCATAAACAGACCTTCTAAACCTGTAGCAACTAATGTATTGCTGATTTATGATCATCCCATGGAGTATTAAGCAGTTGTGCTGAAAATAAAAGATCTTGGATTATAGCTTGCCAAAAGATAGTTTGAAGCCTGGGTGATCCTATCATGACTTAAAACACAGGGCAAGAAAAATTCTCATTTGCATCACAGCAACTAATTTACAGCAGAACACATACAGTCTGAGGATTACTGGGGCAGTTCAGCCAATATAGGTACTTCAGACTAAGGAGAGATACAGGGGATGCATAACATTTCTGATATGGACATTCTGTGTCAAATGCCTGCACCCCAACCACTGCAAGCCTGATGATCACAAGCAGCCTGTTACCATTTTCACCTGTACTACCACAGTGTTGTGCCCCTGAGGTATTCAGTTCTACTAATATGCTCTCTGTCTCAGTAATAGACTCTGCTCAGAATGGCTTGTGGTGCCAAATGGTTTTAGCGTGTCACCATCTCTTAATTCTCAATAACTGGCAGAAGATAAAAGATAATTTAGTCCCTGACCCCTTGAAATTTCCAGTTCAACATTCCCCGGAGAACATTGATGAAATGTTGCCACCTTGAATACACTGAGCAAATTCACAGTCCCACAAGACTACTCATATTTGTGCAACACAGTTTGTAAACTCCATGGTAGCAACAAAAATTATATTCTAATACAAATGAAACAACATTCTAGGACTCCCTCCAGGGCTATCAAGGTTTCCTCTGCTCAGTCAGTTTTGGCTTTGGACAATTACAATATAAATACAGTTAATTACAGCTAAACAATAAAATTATTACAATAAAAATACAGTTAACTACAGTTCTCCTACTTTCTCAAGTGTGGGAATTCCAAGGAGTACAAATCTAAAAATGGAAAAATGTTATTTAAAATTCTTCATGTATACATATGACATTCCAAGTAACTTTTAACATATTTTATATTACATACTGGTGTGTCTGTTTATTGAGATACATATTAATAAACTTCATGATAAACTAAAGACACAGACACTTGAAATCTTTCTCACCACCCCATCTCTGGTACTCAAAAGTATCAGGCCTGTTCCAGGCCTGAGACAATAGCTCCATCAGAAATTCCTCTGATGTGCCACAGCTAGATCAATGGGCTACACCTGTAAGAACAATTAAACATTCCATGCTCTAAGCTGCGACCAGATAATATGTAATGGCACAAATAAGTGTGCTATCAAACTCACACTGCCAGCAGACCGCCACTGGGGTTAGCTTGCTCTTGTACAAACTGCCAAGCCACTCAGAGTTTGTGAGACATAACAGAGGTAAGAGTCATACCTGGGCCATTCTAACAATTCAACAATGTAGAAGATGTTCTACAACAATGTAGAAGAGTGCCCAGCACTCTTTAATCTTCTATAAAGAACAATGGTCAGATCTCAGAGAAACGTTAAATCTATGCCATCGTCATTTTATTAATTGCATTTTTGTAGCAATATTACTCTGGTTTTATTGTCAAGGTAAGATCTGATTTTCTGTACCACCTCCACAGATGCATTCCTTGGCCTGACCCCCACTGAAAAAACTCTGTAGTTTCAACCCAGGTGAAGTGAGTACCCAGAGCAAAGGAGGACGTCCTAGTCTCCAACTCTATTTGTGAATGTAAACTTCCAGTTTCTGTAGTGGAGACTTGGTCCTTTCTTTGGTGCCCAGGCCAAACCAGAACCCCCCACCAATACGCCCTGTCTAAGATACATATCCCAAGGCCTATTTTGTACAGGTCCTTTTTCCTTATTGGCAGTCAGATGCAGAGAACTTACAACCACAGTTTTAGATCTGGAACACTGCTGAAGCAAAAGGACCCAGAATGTTGAACTTTGAAAAAGATCCAGTCCAGGTCTCATTAATGATTGGCAGGTCCTGGTCTCACTTCTGACCCACTATAAGGGAGACCAGAAGTTCCATTCTTAGAAGTCTGCCAATTCTTTTACTCTTAATGGCAGTTCCTCTGCAAGCAGAAGGAATGCTACAGGCATGCCAACAGACAAATCTGAACGTCTTTCACTGACTGGACTTTCTTTGGAAGGACATGACACTGGAAATTGGGATCTGAACAGCAGTGAGATAATCCAGTCAGGCTTCTGATCTTGAGCCACGTGTGTAGCCACCACAGTGCAGTACCTAACTATGCACATGTCTTGCACAGCCTGGCTAAGATACAGAGGACCTGGGAATGGACTCTTTGTCCTAGAGTGACTGCTGCCCTGATTCAAACTCACCCAGGGGTGTGACGAAGCCACTACTGCAAAGAAACTATGTAGTGCTTGAAAGGGGCTGCAGATTAGTTGAGTTTTTTCCCCCATTAGCACTGGGCAATGTATTATGCTGCCATGCACCAGAAGATCATTATAGAAAAGACTTCAGAGATCTGTGGTAACAGATATCCCCAGATACCAGACAATGAGCACTACAACACAGAATTGTGCTGCCTGTTGGCAGTGAGCAGTAAGTACTTGAATCTATTTTCAAGAAGCAAACCAGAGATGAAATCAGCTGCAGGCTCTGGAGAACTGGAATAAAAAGCTTCCCAAACACAGTCCATGAACAGATAAGTCCCCAGAAGTCAAGGACAATCCATTCACTACTAAGAAAAGCATCCGAGGAACATTAACTTCCTGAGAAAATTAAATACTGTGAATATTTTTGGCACATACTAGAAAGCTAAATGTATTTCCTTAACTGCAATCATTTAACACAGTAGGTTATACAAATAGATAAAAATTTCATAACTTGTTTTATCTTTGCTTTCAAAACTGTTCCATTATAATGTAAGACTTCCTTGACAATGCACAGGGTTTTAAGGCACCTGCATTGCCTTTAACTGCTTCAGCAACAGACAGTGCTGTGCCATACATGTCGGAAAGGTAACCTTTCCTGTTAAGGCCAATTAAGTGCAATTTATTCCTGTACAATGCTGAGCATTGTAGAGATAGTTTCAGAGGAGCGCAAATGCAATATTAGTGCTGCAAAGATATTACTTGCTACACTAAATTATATTTGCTACTGACAAAACGTAGTCAAGCTCTTGTCTCTTAAAGTCAAAATCAACCCCATCAACATCAGCAGGAAGTCTAATGCAGCTGGAACCATTCCCTTGCATTTAAAAGAGAACTAATTTTAAAAAATATTAAAAATCTGATGAGACCTTACATTTACTAATAATGCTTGATTCAGTCCTGATATATTTCCTTCAAATGGGATCTCAACCTGAGAGGGAAAAATCCCAGACATACTATTTCTAGACACATTCAAGCTCTAAACCTCCCAGTGTCTCTTTGATTTTGTGCCATTTATGAATCTCTACAAGGAACGAATGCTTCCTTATGTAGTAAAAGATTTGCACTGTAACCAAGGCTGGTGACATCATATTGCACCAAGGTCTCAGCACTGGTAAACTCAACTGTTTTACTTCAGTTAGTGAACTGTACCATTGTGCAGTCTACCTGCAAATGCTGTCTGCATTTACCTGCTTGATTGTGATCTCCAGAGCAGAGAGTATTTTGTCCCAAACCAGAGATCTAAATTGTGACTCAAACAAAAAGATATCCTGAGGTAGAAGCCCTAGCACTGAAGGTGAGAGAAAGCCTCCCAGAATTGCATTTTACAGCATTTGATTCTACTTTAGTACATAGTATACAACTTTTCAAACCTGTGACATTCTTCTGTCCTTCAGGAAGAAGCAACAATGATGGCAATGATGGAATCTTTAGCAACCAGAAAAGAAAGTTTGTACGTGAAGGGCTGCAAATCATGTTCAAGTTCTGGGAGGATATGTAAGGAATGCACCCAAAATACTATCCATTTATGGCACCCCAGAGGTTTTGATGGCAGTCAGGGTTTTCCCCATTTTCTATTCCCTCTTTCACTCTTGGCAAAGAGCAGTAATTTTACTGCCAAAACAAGTCTCAACTCATAACCTATTGTCTTGAGAAAAAAAAAGCAGCACAGTTGACAGCAGCTTTTCTCCAATTCAGATGTTCTTCTTCAGTTTCTGGAGAGCCAGAAAATATGGTAATTTGGACTGTTGAGATCCTTTTTTTCCCCATGGAGATACTGACATTGATTTTAACACCTTACTGATTTATTTCTGAGGATATGAACCAATGCGAATTGCAGCTTCTGAGTATCAAAAAAAACCCAAAAAAAACCCCAACCCACGTAACAACTAAAGAAAGCAAAAACCATTAAACAAAAAAACCTCTACCCTTAACACACTATTTTGAACACAGAAGTTCAGCTCATTGTGTCCTTTCAAATGTTTTAGAAAGAAAATTAAAAGACTACAAGATATCATGAGTCAGAGGAAGAGACAAAGTATTAGTTGACATAGAAAACCAACAGTGCTTCCTCTTTGCTGTTTCACTACTTTAAATCATTTTATGGCTCTCTTCCATACTGGGATTTTTCTTTTGGGAGTTCATTCTATTCCTAATTCCATCTTCAAATGCAGCTGGCTAATGCTGTGTGGATGTTCAGCTGTCTCCTCTGGGAGGGACTCCTCTCTCTAACCAAGTCATGCAAAAGTTTGACAGAAAACATGAAACAAAATACTACCTAGTTTGTTACCACAATGGCTATGTGCTGTTGTCTGTGACTACTACAACAAAGATGCAATTAGAGTATTAAGTGTGGATGCTTGCATTTCAACCTAAAAATAAATGAAAACAAATCTCAGGGAGAACTGAGTTAAGAAATGGGACTCTGCAAGAAAAAATGCATTACCAGAGACTTCCACTGAGTTTCAAAGGACCATGTTGAACAGGGCATACTTGGTGGCAAGGCCAACATGCCACCAGATGCAGAGGTTTCTCAGCCACCTTTTGAACAGAAAGCTACATTCATACATACACAGTCATCGGGCAACAGAAGTGAACAATGAGGAAAGAATACAAAAAAAAAGTCACGTACATTTGGATCTCTTAAATATTTATAGTTCAGTTACAGATAATTCTTTGAGGGTCGTGCTGAAAAAACATGTTTCAAAGGAAGTGGTGTTTTCAAATTGGCAATCCCAGACTTCTTTTATAATCATTGGCTAACACTCCCTAAAGATTTTTAAGTTAGAAAAACAAAATTAATGCAAAATTTAAAAATTAAACATTCATCTCAATAGCATAATATTTACCTCTGCTATGGTGTTCTGCTTTTCTATTTGTTCATCTCTTCATCCCAAATTTTTAGGCAGTAAATTGTCTCTGTCTGCCTCCTGCTCTGTTTGTTCAGGGCATAGCGCAATCTTAATTAACAATACATAAGAGTTTGCTTTTTAACATTTCAGACTGTATTTGACCTATATTTCACCAGGCTGTGCTTTGCATCAGAAAAACCCTTGTGAAAGCAGAAAAGCAACACCAAGTTATGCTGTAATGAACAGCATTAGAAAATAACCATTTAATTCAGGCAGAGAGGTAGTCATTGCTCCTCTCTTCAACTGCCAAAAAATGGTACACATCTAAACAAAAAATGTTTTGAATTTGTTTTGTTTGATCTTCTCTACAAATTAAAATTAATTGTGATACATAACTAGGTTTTTGGCTTCAGATAATCTACTACAGTCTGCTTGTGTGGGAAAGAGAGAGACAGTAAGTGGGAACAAGGTCAGTTGGGTTTTACAATTTATCCTCATGCTCCACTTGCACCCATTTCCAGAAATGTCTATATCCTTCTGGCTGTCTTAAATGCCTTCCCAGCCCCTGGTGCTCCTCATGTCTGTTTAAACACCAAGACTGGAGCTGCAATCAATGAGATGGAAGACTAAAAGTCAATACAACCAATACTTCAAGATAAGAAACAAAAATCAGAATGATGTAAAGCTAATTAAAGCTTAACATTTATAGAGCAGAACCATGACCTTTTGATGGTAGGCTTTAGAACTCATCACATATGAATTTTCTCCACTAAAAGAAATATTGACTACACACATTGGCAACAAAATTATGTAACAAAATTCAAAACCAGTATGTTTTGTGATAAGTATTTTTTGTTTTCCCCAAGAGTGGAAAGGGTTGAACATCTTAAAAACTTACTTAGTCAACACAACTAATAGAAATGGTCAAACTAATGGTGTACACTCTGTTGCTGTAACAGATGGAATTTCTTGGGCAGGGAGTGTTTCATTAACAGAGTAAACTGATAAGCCTGTTTTATTTAAGAAAAAAAATATCAGTTAAGTCTAGTATAATTCACAACAGCAACAAAATACTTTGAATTTGTTTTCAGTTCTATCAGAAAACAGCTGATCATATTGTTCAATTAATCTCTGATGATGGAAGTCCTAAAAAACCATCTTGTCCTCAAATATCCAGCTGTCTATTGTAAAGAGCACATAGAGTCACAGAAACACAGAATATCTATCCTGAGATGGAAAGGACCCACAAGGATCATCAGAGTCCAGCTCCTGGCCATGCACAGAACCATCCTCAAGAGTCACACCAGGAAGCTGCCTCAGAGCATTGTTCAAAACACCTCTTGAACTCTGTCAGGCTTGGAGCTGCAACTACTGTATTGGGAACCCTGCTTCAATCCTCAACCACCCTCTAAGTGAAGAACTTTTTCCTGATATCCATCTTAAACCTCCTCTGACATAATTTCAGGCCATTCCCTTGGTCACTGGTCAGAGCAGAGAAGAGATCGGTGCCTGCACCTCCTCCTCCCCTCATGAGGATGTTGTAGACTGCCCTCAGCATTCTCTCCTCTAAGCTGAACAGACCAAGTGACCTCTCCTCAAAAGCTTCCTTTCCAAGCCCTTTACCAGGCTTGTGGCTCTCCTTTGGACATTCTTTAATAGTTTAAAATCTCTTTTCCATTGTGGCACCTAAAACTGCCCCCAGCACTCGAGCTGAGGCTGCCCCAGTGCAGAGCAGAGCAGAGCAGAACAATCCCCTCCTGTCCTGGCTGTTGATGTTGTGCCTGATGCCCCCAGGGCAGGGTTGGCCCTTCTGGCTGCCAGGACACTGCTGGCTCCTGCTCAGGTCACCATTGACCAGGAGCCCCCAGGACCTTTCCATGGGACTGCTCTTCAGCCTCTCATTCCCCAGTCTGTCTGTTCATCCATGTTTGTCCTGGCCTGGGTGCAGAGTCCAGCACTTCCCCTTGCTGAGCTTCATGCAGTTGGTAATTGCCAGTCTCTCTAATTTGTGAAGGTGTCGCTGCAGGGCCTTGCTGTCTTTGAGGGAGCCAACAGCTCCTCCCAGTTTTGTATCTTCTGGGAACTTGCTCAGTGTCCCATCCAGTCCTGCATCCACATCATTTATCGAGATGTTGAAGAGAGCTCAGAGCTGAGCTTGGAGCCTTCTGGGACCCTATTAGCGACAGATCACCAGCCTGATGTCACCCCATCCACTACAACTCTTTGTAGGCCATCCATGAGCCAGTTGCTCACCCATCACAGGATATGTTTCTCCAGCTGGGGGCTGAATGTTTTGTCTGAAAAAACTGTGTAGAAAGTATCAAAAGCTCTGCTAAAGTCCAAAAAGGTATCATCAGCTGGCTTTCCTAGATCAACCACGTAGGTTAACTTTTCTGAAAGGAAATCAGGTTTGATAAGCAGGGCTTTCCCCTCAAGAAGCTGTGCTGGCTGTAACTGATGACTCTGTTGTCCTTCAGGTGCTTTCCAACACCTCCCAGAGCAATCTTCATAATTGTCAAACCACTACGGCCATGCAGCCTAAGGTAGAGAATTGCACATTCCTGAAAACAGAAACATACCCATCTGAAAAGGACACTGAACTAAAAAGCTAGGTTTAATAGCAGCAGATCCAGCCATAAAATAACTTCCGGTGCACAAAAAAGTGAAGTAAAGTAACACCGCTTTCACCTCATCTCCCCAGCCTTGATACGGAGACAACAAAACCCATTTACTTTACATGCAGCCCTCCTAAGGTTAAAGGTTCCAGAAGAGGCCTTCCTACAACTCCCTTCTTACTAACACAAAAAGGTTCACTTTCATCCTGGTTCCTAGCTCTGTAACTGCAAATGCATGAAGAACTGCTAAGTTACATATGCAGAGCTGCTGACAAAGCTGAAGGTTATAACAGCCTTGTGTAGTGGACACTTCCATTTGAAATAGGGCCCATGCTGATAAAGAAGATAGCATAAAGAATGGAACTCCCGTAATAAAAAATTCAATGTTTTGCATGTTCAAAGCATTGGACACATAGAAAAATGTTCACACAGTGTAATTGATGTTGCTGTGTTTATAAAGCACAGAATTTTCAGTAGAGAAAGTAGAAAATATCATGATTCATATTGTGACTTAGGATATGTATACAAGTTGCACAGACCTGAACATGTAGCACTTAAATTAATTCTCCATTGCTTCCGTAGTGTAGAAAATTCATATTTTTAAGCTGGGTTAATAATAAATTTAAAAAAATAATGAAATAAATCTAAACCTAGAAACTTGAGGAAGTTTTGGCTGTCAGATTTCATGCATAATTTGGCTGCCTGTTCTGGCAGAGGAGGAAGCTTCAAATGAGGTCCTTGTACTGTGGCAGTGAAGCTATGGTTTGTCTTTTCTTTGGACAGGGTGAGGACAGGACCTGCCCAAAAAGCCCTGCCTGAAAATAATCTCCAAGACAAACAAACCATCAAAACAGAAACAAACAAACAAGCCCTGCCCAGACAGTGCACACATGGAATTCATATCCATTATAGTATATTAAAGTCAGTGGAATACCAGCAAAGTCCCTGAAATTAATGGGAAAACCAGAACTAGTGACAGCAGCCAAACCAAACCTGACTGACCACACTTTTCTACACCAATTCTACACTGCAATGACAGTGCAAGATCTCCTTCCAGCTCAGGGTAACATAGCTGATAACAAAGAAGATTATTTTTCTTCAAACAATAAACACCTCCAGAGGTTCAGAAGGCAAATATGCTTTCAAGACAGCTGTAATATGGAAGATAGCCTCTCCCCTCCCTTTAGTACCCTTTCGCAGTGCCATTTTACAACATGGACCAAGGGTCATTCAGACCCATATTTAAAGGACACTCCACAAGCAGGATGCAGGAAAACCAGTGTGGATTTTTGAGACCTGTTTCATACATGCTACAGGCCCTGCTGTGGGAGAGGATCATGCCCAGCTCAGGATCTCTAGGTTATTATATAGCTTGGTTTCCGTGGAAGCTCCTGCCAGTCTCATGCTTTAAATCAGCTTCCTACATTTTTCATTATCATGTCTCTTCCCTAAAAATCTCAAGACTGTAGCTGGCACAGGAAGACGCCTCTGAGCAGTGGATGGATTTTCACCTTCAAGTCCTCTGCCACTTCTCCCTTCAGCTTGTGACAAACAGAATAAGTCAGTTAAAAAGCCTCAAAGCAGCTGTTGATACAGAAGACACTCCAGTCAGCTTCATCCTGGACACAAATCTGCCCTTTGAAATTTGAGCCTCTTATTTTAGGAAAAAGGGATCTTCATATGTCTGCATTAAACATTACTTTCTCGATTAATTATTACCCATTTTTTACATACACAAAATCAAGCAATATAGAATTAGTGAATACAGGGATGTTTTCAGAATAAGCAGAAGTAAGATTAGAAAGGCCAAGGCACACTCAGAATTAAATCTGGCCAAGAATGTCAAGGATGCCAAGGATAGCAAATATACCACCAACAAAATGCACTAATAACAAAGGGAAAACAAAGGATGATGTGGGCTCATTGCTAAATGGAGAGGGAGCCCTGGTACCAGAGGACAAAGAGAAGGCATAGTTAGTGGATGACTTCTTTGCATTGGTCTTCACTGGTAAGACCAGCCCGCAGTGATTTCCAACCCAGGAGACGAGGGTAAAGGGATCTTAGAATGAAGGCTTTAAGATGGTGAAGGGCTGGGTCAGAGAACACCTAAACGAAGTCCATGGGCCCTGAGAGGACGCATCCACAAATTCTGAGGGAACAGGCAGACATCATAGCCAGAGGACTCATGATCATGTCTGAAGGGCCATGGAGATCAGGAGAGGTGCCTGAGGACTGGAAGAAAGCAAATATTGCCCTGGTCTTTACATCAGGCAAGAAGGAGGACACAGGGCTGTGTGACACCAGTCAGTCAGTTTCACTTCAATCCATGGAAAGGTGATGAAGCCCATCATTCTGGAGACCATCTCTATCCACATGGAAGACAAGAAGCTGATCAGGAGTAGTCAGCATGGATTCACTAAAGGTAGGCCATGTTTGACCTGCATGATTGCCTTCGACAATGAAACAGCTACCTAGATGGACCAGTGGAGAGCAGGGGA